ATACAAATAAAGTTTGATTAATTGATCGTTTAAAAAACCAGTAGATTGATTATCAACTATGATATTACAACTTATTTTAAACCTGCATTAAAAACAAGTATTTGGACACCTACACATCTTTTGTTCTTGAAAATTGTAAATAACTGTTGGTGTGACATATATACGTCTGTTAACATGGCTTTAATCTAATCCTTCAAAGGTTAGCTTTGTCAAGATAGTTTGCAAGTAGGTCAATAGCTAAAATGTATTTGTCCAAGTTTCCAAAAGACTGAGCTATAACGTGTGAGTTTCAGTCTGTTGATAGCCATTAAAAACAATATTGCGTATATTTTTAAGCAGCAGAAATCATATGACTTCAATTCTTATTCAAGGCAAAACTATTCTGATCAAAGCTCTCACACTTTATCCGTGAACTGGGTGAGTACAGAAACCTGAGGTCCGAGCATTAACTGTAAAGAGACACAGAAGCACAGCTGGGGTAGTTGAAATTACATATATGCATGCTAACGTGTAGGCACAGCAACACATAAACACCCAGACGCACAAAGTCTGGATAGGCCTACTGTGTAACTGACACCCAGCAATATTTCATATTGACAGCCACATAAGCGATAGTGTGCAATAAAAACAGAGCTAAGATGTGAGGAGTGGAGGGTGAGCTCAGAACAACATGATCTACATTCCTGAGCTTCCACTTACATTCGACCAAAAAGTGGATTAGTGGATTAGTGTTAGCAGTTTTTATTTATTAGTCCAACTAGGTTTCATTGCTGCTAAACCAGGGGTTTTGAAAGTTATTACTTAAAGTAACAGTCTGCAATTGATTCGGGATCGGAACATTCAATGCATTAACTTTTATTTAAGTTTCAAGCAAACATTCAAGTTGAAGATGATGACAAATGTAAACACATTCATGCCCAGTGGGGAAATTGCATTATTTGCCTGCAATCAGTTGAATCTGTAAGCAAAGAATGTGTGATTGTGAGACACTGACCCTAATGTTTTCTGGTCAAACTGTTATGGCATGATATACGGTTGTCAAACTGAATGTGCTGTTTTTTTGCACATGCCCATGTGACCTCTGAACTTAACACCAGAAATCAAACGTCCACTGATAGTAAATTCTGCAGTATCAACACAAAAACGATTCTCTCCAGCAATTAACGTTGCCTTAACAACAATGTCAATGTTAGAATATAAGCAACATGAGCCACAGATTAAATTATAGCTATATCCCAATTTAGGGGCCGCTTCCTTCGTGGGCTTTGTAGAGTGTGAAGTCCGAACCAAAATCAGACAGTCTGGTCTATGGAAGATTTCCATGATTAGCGTCACCGGGTTGTCCTGTCAACACAGCTGCAGGTGGACACGACCAGAAATGTTTAATTCTCATTGATTTTTTAATGTGTACTATTCAGTCTATACTTAAATCCTTACTTATACTCCCTTGAGTACTATACTTATATAAATATCTTACATTTTGGTTTAAACTATTGCCACCACCATTTTCAATTGGAAAAACAGTTTGCCACCAAATTGTAATGAATCCTGGGATAGGTTGGCCAGAGAAGGATCAAACCATAGGAGCTTTAGTTGCTTGTGCATAAAAGGACAAATCTGTTGGCTGCATTTGAAGGAGCCTTCAAAACGGGACAGCCTAGTCGTGCCGCTGTTACGCAACCGGTCATCAATGGAGCCTCAGAGGGATGCAGCCCCTGAATTGGGACACAGCATATGTTATCATAACATGAGGTGTGGGCAGGACTTTGGACTTCTAACGTTGCATGTTGTCATTAACATGTTAGGTTACCCTCAGCAACATTAAGCAGGTAGAGTGGCCACCTCTGAGAACCAATCACATTCCCCAAAAGAACTGAACCTTGCAAACAGGCACGTCTATGAGGAATACAGCAGGGGTAAAAAAAGATGTTTGTCCAGTGAGGAATCTCAAGGGTACAGCGCTCACTACTCAAGAGGCCAATCAGGCGTGGCGTTCATTTAACCAGTGAACTTGAGGGATTTGCTGAGTCCAGCCGTCTAAAGGGAATATTAAACTGCAGCACTACCATAACAAGTAATAAAGAATACAATCCAACTGAAACACTATTTTAGCCTGATTTATAACCAGCTTCTCCCAGGTCTTATGAAATGTGAAAGAGGAAATTTAGGATTACCAATGATCCCTAAGCAAAATTTGAAGTTTACAGACCACATTCGACAGATGGTGCAGCTTCTTCTCAGTACAGTCTGAGGGTGTCTGTTGTTTTTAATCCCTCCACTTTTCCAGTTTTTCATTTGAAGTTTGAAATTGGAAGATGATAGATACCAAAAACCCTGTCAATATAGTTTTACATTTCATCTCTTATGCTTCTCTAGACACAGGCTGCAGATGGGCTGTACTTGAGTTTGGCTGAGGGAGGTCCATGTATAGTTGTGACATCACACAATAACAGTCTCAATGTCTCTTTATAAAGCACAGTTTCCAAATATGGTCTGTGAGCATTTTCTCCATAGATGCCTTTTTGAAAAGTTAACAGTATTCGTATACCACCTACACCTTCTGTACATTTAAAGAGGGCTTCTAAAAGATGAGACCTTTACAATACACTGGATTAACACAACAAATAAGGGTAATTTAAATGCTCTGCATGCGTTTTACCTTTGGGGAGTTTTTGTATTTAGCACAGAACACAGGAAGCAAACTGAAAAGTTGGACAGAGGGATGTTCCAGCAATGGAAATAAACATGGATAAATGTGGATTTCAGTGATTAGTTCCACAGATATCTTATTTCCACAAAGAGGAAATAAGAGATGCAGCAAAAAACATGTATTAGCTTCAGAAGAGATGGAGCAGCAGTTTGAACATGAGGCCAGGTCAAAAGGTCAAAGTGGCAAAGCCTGGCTTTTTCCTGCATCGAGAATTGCGAAGCAGCCACAATTCAGAACAGTGGAAACCGCTCACAGTGATCATGTTTGTTCAGGCCAGAGAAATTATGCCATAATATCAGCACTGATCACCATATAATGATGAATACTTTTCTTTAATTAGTAAAATGCACGCACTCACACACAAAAACAGTTGGAACTGGGTACAGAGAGGTACATAATCTGACTTAAAGTATAAAAGAAGAATGTACAAAATTCCAGATGTCATAGAAAGATGGTATAGATCAATTAAATAAAAGTTGAAAAAGTTTGGCCAACAGTCATAAGGAAGGAGGAAAGAGAAAGGGGGTGTGGAAGCAAAGGCTAAAAGGAGAAAGGAACAAGTGTTTGCCCTCTGCCCTTTCGGGAAAGACAGAGAAAGGATGAAGAGTGAAAGAAATCTGAAGACTCATTTGTCTTTGTTAGTTGAGTCTGATGTGACAAAGTGTGACTCAATCAGACAGAAGATAAGATACCTCACCCCCAACACTTAAACATGCAGCCAGCACACACACAAACACACATTGCTGACCAAGTAAGTTACTCCTCATCTGTTCCACAAGAGGTTAGGTTTTTATTGGTGTTTGTCTGTCTGTTGGCAGGATTACATGAAAACTACTGATCAGATTTAACTGAAAATTGGTGGAAGGCCAAGAACCTATTTACCTTTGGAGCGGATCTGATTAAGACGGCAGATACAGGATTTGTTTTTTCACTTTCTCTAGCAATGAAAGATAGGGTGTTTGATTTTTTTATCGTATTTTGTGAAATAATGCAAAGCTTTTAATTTGCATGTGTTTATGCGTCTGTATGGTGAGTGTTTCTTAATATGCTGATATCTGTGTTCAATTAAAATTATCTGTGTGAGATGACGTGTAAACACATTGATACATTTTGAGGTACTGCATGTTCAATGGATCTATACAATTACTCAGCATATCTCAATAAATCTTTCTTTGCACTGACAGCTGTGCAAACAGAGAAGAATTTCAGACATTTTCTAAACCAATTTGACATTTTTGTTGTTTTGTATGTAGGGTTTTCACAATAATTCCAACTGAACAAAAGCACGGAATTGTATTACTCCTTGTGGTAAAATCTGATCTAGCTAGCTGCAAAGACATAGACAAGTAAGTAGTGAAACAATGAGTATACTAATTTATATTGATCATTTGCTGAGCTTCAGCAATGATGTGAAAATGAAGTTTGTCCTGGGAATGCTGTTTGAAGTAAGGCCATGGGGTCATTAAAATCAAAGTGTTTACCCCCTTGGGAGTCTTAATGTGCTCAGCATATTTAATGGAAATCTGCCAATTAGATTACAACAGCACTGATGCATCATACTAAATCAATATCTTACAAAACCTGATGAACCTACACAAGCACATGGAAGGTGACAGAAGACTGTAGCGAAGAAAAAAACGTTTGTCTTGTAGGCTTCACCCCTTATAAAAGTAATGCTAGAAAAAGTGCAGTATATGGGGTCTTAATGAAATAATCCAATATCCATTTCTTAAGGGGCTGTAAAGTGTTTCTTGAGTGTGGTCACATTTGTGCAAGGGCTATTTTGCTGCCCCCCTGGCACAGGTAGGTGGAGAAGTAATTGTTGGTCTTTACTGGCTCAGTCATTCTCTCCCTACTTTTGCTTTCATCATCAATGCTTGTCTTACTGGATTCCAGAGACGGAGCAGTCTTTGCAGGTCAGGGTTATTTTAATATCCACACTTTCCCATCCCATGAGTCAATCCACAAAAATATGCATTATTCAAACACCCAAGCGTGATCTGACCTGCCCACTGCCTGACAAGTGGTCTGGGTGCATATGGCTGTGTGATAGAGGTAGATTACTTTATAGTACAGTCAGAGGATAAAAGGAACCTGAGACATCGAGTGTGTGCGCACGTGTTAGTGTGTGAAAATCTATCCTACATGTTGTCACCACTTGGTTAAAGGGATTTGTGTGTCCATTAGGCTTTGGCCTTAGTGACAGAGAAACAATGCTGTTATGTGTTGTGATAACAATGTGTGTTTCAAACTGATTGTGTCTTTACATTCAGTTGTCTTCGGGTCTTACCATCTCAGAGGAGTCTTCATTGAGGGAGGGTTCTGTCTCTGTCAGCTGGGGGCTGAGGGCTGACTCACTGCTACTTCTCACCAGCAGGGGGGTGTCTGTAGAAAACAAACAGATGAAATATGATGACATCGTTCAGGAAATATTTTCCCAATAAAGCCAACTCTTAAAAGATTTGGGTAACACCTAAACAGCAATTGCAGGGTGATACTGTGTACTCTTTACATATCCATCAGTAGAAGAGACACAGATATATAACCACAACATGATACAAACTTGGAACCGGTCATCTTTATTCCTTGTCTTGCCTTAGGGACATTAGCTTTTCACACAGCATCAAACTAACGAGGTGAAAAAAAAAAAGATAAGCAGAAGCAAAGACATGAGTGTGTTTATACAACATGCCTGCATAGACTGGACAACAACAGAACGTGTTTAGATAGATGTTAAACAATCTGTAAATCAACCACTTTTCCCCCAGTTCTTTGTTTATAGGATGTGTGTGAGGAATTTGGTGACTTAGTATCAAACACAAACAGTTTAAGCTGCAGAAAAATGATTTGATACATGATTAAAAAGTTCAAAAGTAGAGCCCCAATGATTGATCGGTACATTTTATATCATGTATAATGCTCTACATAGTTGGTTGTATAAGTTTATGGGTAAACTGTATTTTACAAAGCCTAAAATGAATTAAAACAACGTCTTAGAAATGTTATTTCAAATATACAATGCCATAAATTTGGAATCGGAAATAATCAAATTTGTTTTATAATATCGGAATAAGCATCTGCCCTCAAAAGTCTGTTTCTTTTACAACACCCCTAAGATAGCATTTTATTAATGTTTTTCCTTTTATCTTTCAAATTAGTTATTCTGTATTTGCCCAATGTTTTCACTTCTTCCATTCAGTGTCCTCTGGTTAAAACCAGAGAAACATCTCTCTGTCAAAATGTCTCAGTGTGAAAACCTCTTATCAGACGGTTGATGAAGTCAGAGATATGAGACAGAGAGAGAGAAAAAAACAAGAAAAACTGCAAGAATAGTGTCTACAGTGTTCATTGAGCTTTGCTTCTAAAACTAAAGCAAAGCTCAATGATACATGTGTGTATACACACACACACAGAAACTGTCTTAAAACTGCTAATGCTATTTTGATGAAGTCACAGTTCAGCAAAAATCAGGTCTAATAATAATCTTTTAGATGACAAGATACAGACCTTAAGCTAATCATGCCACACTTCAGACACGAGTTTGCAATTCTTTGTGTGTGTCAAAGAAAGATGAGGAAATAAGACAGAGGAGAGGAGAGATCATTTTTTGTTGTTGCGTTCACAAAATAAATTTTCACCCCGTCACTGGAATGTGCATGTGACATCAGTCTGAGACACGTCAGAGTGTGCTGTCAGACACTTCCATTACTCAGTGTAATGAACTAATAGGTTGTTTAGATGAGTGTGTTTTAAAAAGTTTCACATCAATCATATCCAGAGCTAAATTTAAACCAATGTAGTTTTTAAAAAATTGCATCAAATGCCACTGATGACGAGGCAGAATGAGCAAAACAATTGCCACATTCACATTGTTTTATATTTTTCTTTATTGAAATAAAAAGCAGATGTTTTATGACTGGTGGTTCATGTGCATTAAGCATTCAACAAGAATTCAGAGAGGTCCAGATTGAGAATCTTTCCTCAAGCAAAGGTCCAGAGAATCATAATGTCTAACTATTGTTTAATTCCGTGGAATAAATATTGAAACATTTAATGTATTTGCATCTTTGAGTCCTCGACAACTATCAAATCAAATAAACTATAATGAAATAATATTTTAACAATATGTATTGTTAGTTTTCCCATTGAAATGGATGGATTTTATATAAAACTATAATACAAAATATGAGATGAAGCTGTGCCAGTTAAAATAGCGAGTAGTCAAAGAGAGCGTAAATCTAAAATATTAACTATGGTAATATCCTTAGGGCTTCACACAATACCGTAAATCTGTAAATCATCCATATTCATCAGCACATGTTCATATCTGCTGTGTTACAGCGGAATCGTTATACAGCTCATTCCTGAATGTTGTTCTGGAAGATGTGCTTATTGTGTTTATTATATCTATAAGGATTCTGAAAGCCAGAATGTGTAAGAAGTTAATGAATGATCCTTTCTCTTCACATCCCTTCAGTGAACACACTGGTGTTCATGCATCCAAATGGCCAATAAGTGGCTGATTTGCAGATCTCTGTGTACATATAGGTAACATATGATAGTGTCTCTTTCCTCTTCACATCTCATCAGCCCACTGCATAAAATCATCATTTAAGAGAAGCTGATGGATGGACCACACCACAGTATTGCTAACGCTGCCACTGGAGCTTGGAGGGATAGAGAAATGGAGGGAAAAGTCAACACTGCAGAAAGCTATGCAAATAAAAAACATTTATAACTAGATGTATTATTATGAGCTGTGTGGTGCACTCCTAATCCTCAAATCTACCATGCATTCCATTTCATAGGGCCAATCAATCCATATGTACATTAAGAACGTTGTCATGTTAGCTTCTATGGTTCCACTGGGGATAAAATGAAAAAGGTGGTGGTAAGGGTGAAGGGAACTCTAAGTGAGAGGACTTCTCAGCACACATGCCAAATGATATTTGTAGGGTCAAATATTGATTGTCACAAAATGGACCCTTGGTGCTCTTAAGACTGGCGGGGGGATATGGATTACATCAAAGTCAATCAATTCATCTCTTTAAGGAAAGGCAATGAAGGGGGGATAAATGGACTGGGGACAAAAGAAGCAAAGACAAGAGACAGAGGTCTGAGATGGACAAATAAATGAATAAATGGATATGCTATGTACTGACATACTCAGATAAGTGCCATTCTCTAACCGCGTTATTATTCTTTCTATATGCCAGTAACCATTCCAAGATCAATGATTGTCTTACCACACAGGTCTTCTACAATTCAAAGTCAGTTATACAGTAGATCATCTAGTAACCACAGCTACAGTCTATTAAGCTAAAAGAAATGCTACTATACAGAATGATTAGTTCAGCAAAAAGTCCAAAACACAAAGATAATTCAATTACAATGAGATATGGCACCAGCAAAGCCTGAAAACAGAGAACTCACTATTTTGCATGCAAATAATAAACAGTTAATCAATCAAATCAGTTAAACCTGTTTCTGTTCCTCAAATAATCAAATAAATTGACTTATCACTTTAAAGTTTTCTTTGTATAACAGCTGCTTATTACCTATTCTTCCAAAGTTACCATGTTCGCTTTGAATCTTGATATTTGTCTGTTTCTTAAATTCCAAATCGAGACTGAAGTGTAAAACATCACATAACTATGTTATATCTCATACTACCTGATGAGTGCAGAAGAACATGTCAGTACAGAGACGGGGGACACAACTGAAGATAAGTTAAATCAAAGGGGCAATAAAAAGAAGAAAAAGGGAAGGAAATCTGTTAACAATAAAAATGGAAGTGAGAGACATGACAGAAAGAAAAAAAGATGAGGAAAAAAACGATTTGAACAAACTAGGATGGCATGAAGACAGTTAAAGAGAGAGAGACACATGGTTAGAGTGAGAGACACATTAGACAGTAAAAAGAGACCCAAGTCTGACCTTCCCATATTGACAGTGATGGTCTCCAGAGCTCAGTTACCTCTAATCTCCCATGACAGCCACACATTACTACTAATCTCTGCTGACAGGCGACCATACTAAAACAGACTAAACTTCCTGCCTTAACAGTGTCTGGATCATACAGCTAAGGCCCCTTCACAACTCAGAAAGGTCACAAAAACTGAAATGTCATATCTGTTATTACTGCCAGAACTAAAGCTAGTAGTATAGATGTGAACAAGCTTTCTCCTGTTATTTTTTCGGAAAGTATTTAGACCTCTTCACCTTTTTCACATTTTGTGATTTTGCACCTTTAAGCTAAAACTGTTTAAATTAATTTTTTTCCATCATACATATTATAAATAAAAAACTTAATTCTAAATTGTGCTTATGTATTGAAAGGCAAAAACATATTGACACATATCAACAGTATTCAGACTGCTTAACTCAGTACTTGAAGCATCTTTGGCAACGATTACAGCCTGAAATGTTTCCACATCTTGATTGGAGTCTGCCTTTTGTAAATTCAATTGACTGGACATGATTTGGAAAGGCCCACATCTGTCTGTCAGGTCGCACAGGTGACAATGCATATCAGAGTAAAACACAAGCCATCAGGTCAACAAAATGTGTCCACAGCTCAGAGACACGACTTTGGCGTCAAAAGGAACTCTTCGGCACTGGAGGTTCCCAAAAACCATGTTGTAATCCATAATTCTTAAATGGTAGAGGTTTGGAACTACCATTTCTTCCTAGAGCTGTTCACCTGGTCAAACTAAGCAATCATGACAAAATGGACTTGGGAACAGCAGTGGCAGAGAACGCAATGGTCACTGGCTGACTTTGAGGGATCAGGACCACAGCTTGGGCAAAGGGTCCTCAGGAGAGGTGTTCCTAAACTCACAGCCAAGTGACAACTCTTGATGTCCTTAAGTGAAAATGTCTGTCCACTGACCGTCCTCATCCAACCTGAAAGAGCTTGAAAGGATCTGAATAATGGAAGAAAAGCCCAAAATACAGCTGTGCGAAGACTTGAGGATGTAATAATTTCCAAATGTACTTCAACTAAGTACTAGGTAAACAGTCTGAATATGTTTGTCAGTGTGATATTTCACAGTCAAGTTGTCCCTGTCATCATAGGCTATTGCGTGTCAATTGCTGAAGGAAAAAAAATTAATTAAAATGATATTAACAGAAGACTGCAACATAACAAGTTTTTACAAAAAAGACTGGAAGTGAATACTTTCTGAATGCACTGCATGTGAAATTAGATTTAAGCCAAGGGGACCCAGAAGAATTGACTTTTCCTGCTTTTATCTACTGTATAAAATTGTGCTTATGATTTTTGATTCAGCTTGGGTGTTCTTAGGCGTATTATACTGCTTGACATCCTTGAAGCTGAATAAGAAATTTCACTGGCTTCCACAAATACAACAAGGATGGGAAATAATGAAACATTCTGATATAATGAAGTTTAGAAAAGATGCATGCGCCTTATCTCACTGGATTTGATATATTAGCGACATTTTGAAAACAACCTTGACAGATTATATTTAAATGTCAATTGCCCAACAAGATAGATGATAGAATGTCTGGAACTAAGCAGATATAGAATATAAAATTCAAAATAAAGTGATTAGGAGGCAACTGGAATTAATAGTTTTCTGTTAATTGTAGGAACAGACAATCCATCCATCACCTGCTTGATTCATGAGGCAAAATTTAATTTGGACAAGTTACTGTGCCCTCTCACATCTACAATACCTGCACTGACACAGAAAATGACAGAGATGAAGCGAGGGATGAAGAAAGCAAGAAAGAAAAAGAGGGACACAAAAAGAGAGGCAAAGAGGGGGACTATGAGAGAAAGTAAAGGTCATGCAGATAGGTCTGGTCCAAGTAACAGTAACCAGACACAGACATCAGTTTTTACTCTGCAGACTGACAGAACACATACACTTCCTGTCTTCTCTTTCTTCTACCTCTCCTCGTCTCACTCGCTTTTATCCTCATCTCAGTCTGCATCTCAAAGAACGTGGTGCCAATATTTTAGTTCTATCTTATTTTCTCATTTTCAGTGTCCCAAAAAATAGCCATCACTACCTGACCTTTGTCAGTAATACAATTCAGTAAGTATCAAATATACATCATTCTAATAATATCTACAAAACATACAATATATGAATCTGGAAGTAGGAATAGACTACATCGAATTAGACATGAATAAAACCAGTATCAAAATGTCAAGTATGTATTTTCCTTTTTGTTATTGTATTTTCTCATTGTTTTATGTTTACATATTATTCATTCTATCAATCACTCCAAAATGGTGACTTGACTTCGATCCTTCACTGACTTGGTCTGGCAGCCAAGATCCCCATCAAATCTGAGCCCCACTGAACCTGTTTCTTGTTAAACATCAGTCATGGCACTGACCCGTTTATGCACTGACCCACAGGTTACACCTAAAAACTAAAAGGGTTCCCAAAGGATTTTTTCCTTAAGTTATTTGAAAGCAGTTATGCCACGTAAAAATAAACCTTGGCATCCATCAAAACGTCCCAGTGAAAGTCAGCAGTGGGAGAACTCATGAAAATACTAAGAGCATTTGGTCTCTGAGAGGCGGCAGGATGAGAGACAGAGCGCTTGGCTTGACTGTCGTCCTGGTTTGTCTTCACAGGCAGACTTTGGATGAAATTCTGTGATTTGATGACAAATGCCAGATTGTAACTGATTCTAAGGTCATTGTTTTTCCTAGGAAGAGCACAGCGGTACTACATTTAGTGAGAGGTTTAATAGGAACACCATACAAATACTGCTCAGCTCCTCCCTTTGCTCTTAAAACTGCCTCAGTTTTTTATGGCATGGATTCCACAACATGTTGGAAACTTTCCTGTGAGATTCTGCCCCATGTTGACATTGACTGCGGAGGCCCCTAAAGTTCACTGAACTCACTGTCGTGTTCATGAAACCAGTTTGAGACGACGTCTTAGTGACATGAAACCTTATCATGCTGACAGTTGCCATTCAGAGATTAAAAAATGTGGTTGTAAAGGGATGTATAATACCCAGACAGGCTGTGGCATTCAAATAAAGATTGATTCTGACAATTTGTGTGCCTCAGCAGAAATGGAGATTCATCAGACCAGGCTAAATTTCCCCAGTCGTCAAATGTGTTGTTGAGCCTGTGACCACTGCAGCCTCAGATTTCTTTTCTTGGTTGCAGGGAATGGAATCATCTTCTCCGGTTGTGGCACATCCTCTTCAAGCTTCAGCATTTCAAACCTGTCCTGGCCATTCTCCTCTAATCAAGGCATTTATGTCCACAGACCTGCTGCTTCTGAGGAGGTCAGCCAGGAAACACTCATACCAGCACGTCTGGTACCTACAATCACTGCCACGGTCCAAGTCACTGAGATCACATGTTTTCCTCATTCCGATGTTTGATGTGAGCATAAGCTGAAGCTACTGAACTGTATCTGCAAGAATTGATTGGATAACTGCATGATTAGGCAGGTGTACAGGTGTTCCTCAAAAGTGCTCAGTGAGTGCATTTCAACTTTTGAGGTTATTTACACATCGTGTTAGAAAAGACTGAAATTATGGTTATTGAACTATATTAAATAATTGTTCATATATGTGCTTATGATGTAGCAATGAAAAAGAGTTGAAAAATAGTTTTAAAATATAGCTGTATATTTTAATTTCACCTCTATGCTATGTAGCTCTCCAAACATGAAGATTTGATTGTTGGGGACTCGACTTGTCTATGAACATGCCCAGTGTCAGGACTGGAGCAGGCATACCAACATTAATGGAAATTTACTTACTGGACTTGAGCACTGAAGAATTGACTTCTATCTCTCCTCCTGCAATTGGCTGGAAGGCCGAGAGCTCCGACTGGTAGAGTTCAGGGCTGGGGGCTAGGCTCGTGTTAGCCACGCCCCTCTGCTGGGCTTCCTGTTCCTCATACACCGCCATCAGCTAGAAAAAGGAACACAAACACAATGCAGCTGGTCATTTTTCAATCTTCCTTTAACCTCTATTCCTTCCATTCATTATGAACCCAGTATTTGGGTTAGAGAGCAGAGCAGCAGGAATTCTGTTCCAAGCTTCTTATATAACTCCACTCACAGTCTCTCCAGGTTTTCTACTTACTCTCCATTCTTGTTTGCTTCATAATCGCTGTGCAAATTGCTGCCCTTTACTTGCATTAACACTCACAGACATTTTTAAAGCGTCCTTGGGTCCCGCGAAAGGCATTATATAAATTCAAACCATTATCATTATTATTATTAAACATTTGAAGGTTGCATGAATGCATATAAGTCAAGGGCAAAATGATGACGGAGGACACTAGATTCAGATCCACACAAAGCAGCACAACCAGGCACTGACATGTCATCTCAGCTTAAGTAAAATAAAATAGACATGAATTTGCAGTTATAAGCAGGTGTAAGACTACAGTCCAAAAATTTACATCAAAGTCCCTCTGGCCACCTTCTTTATATAAAGCAAAAACAAAGGCCACAACTTTTTGAGTGGTTGTTTGTATATACATTGCAATACCTTGTGGATGAGGACGCTATAGAGGACGTCCAAGGAGCCCAGCATTCCTGTTACAGTGTGTGTCTACTGATCAACGACTGAATCCATTCGTGTCTCCCCTCTGCATGTGTGCGACTCCCTACTAGCTCTAACTGTTATATAGTGGAATCCCTCCCTATTGAGTATAGCACTGAGTCTGCGTTTAACCTAACATGGCACACGGCTTGTCAACACAGTGTTCTAGGGGCCTCCATGCAAAAGCTGAATAGACCTGTGTGTACATGTGTGTGTCATGTCTATAGTGGTCAAGAGTAAAGAAAGGGGACTTTACCAGTAAAGCCAGAGGCTTCCTGCTACACTGGAACCCACAAGTGGGTGAAGCACTCTGTCATTTACAAATACACATACAGACAACAAACTAATCTTCACACTAATACACAGTTGGACGTCATTGCAGTAGGGAAAAAAACAATTAAGCCGACATAACGAAAATGCAATTCTAAAACAAAAAGCTATGTCAACAATCTAGACTAAAAGCTCAGTTGCTAGTCCAGTCCTGGTGTCATTTTCAAAGCCAACCTGATAATTCAAGAGGAATTTCACTAGAAGCTTCTTGATTGGATATCTGCAAGTTGGAAAACAAAAACCATGTTGTGTGTCCCAAACATGAGACTGTGATTGTGATTGAGCGCCAAGTGTTGGGCCAATTGCAAAACGTAAACGCAATGCATACAGTCCAGCATGCTATGCAAAAATCTGTACAAAATAGTTGTTTTGTGTATTTCAGCTGTACATGACTAAGATTACATAAATACAGTATTTTCAACATATTCTTGTCATTCTTCCATTACTTGTTGGATTTACTTTGAACTTCATTAAATCCAGTTGAATGTTCTTTTTTAAAAACTTATTTTCAAAGTACAAAAGCTTCTTTTTTTTGCATGTGTGTGGATGTATATGTGCACTTTCTCTTTCCAGCATAACGTCGCCTGGCAGAGAGCAGAACAGTGCTGTTATACAATATTGCACCTTTCGCACCATCTTCCCATCTATATCTCACCAACTATTCAGCAAGACTGACACCTCTCAGTCTCTCACACATTCATGTTCTGTCACACTCCCCACTTCCATCTGCCTAACACACATCTCTCTCATTGTCTTGCTCCATCTTTCCTTTTCTAATTTTTGCCCTCTCATTTTTACTTTCTTGTGCATCCCCATCCTTTCCTCTTTCCTCCTTCCAACCATCTCTTCTGGACCATTACTTCATATACAGACCTCTCAGTCACACCCATGCTTGTTGAATAAAATCTTAGTATAGTTGTGTTACTACAAGTTTGAGAAAAACAGCTTGCCTCTTGATCCAGTTTCAGTAAATCTGTCTTGAGATGTTGAGAGAGAGTCAGAACAAGAGCAATAGCTTAGCTCACGCACACACACACGCATGCACACACACACACAGGGGTGGAAGAGATTCTTCAAAAAGAACATCTGAAAGAGCGACAGGGAGAAAAACAGGTAGACAAATTCTACACAGCCTTACAGAGTCTCTTAAAAAGCAGAGTTGGAAAGAAAGGAAAGACAGCAAGATGAGACAGGGGCGGACTTTGTCTCTGTTCTCTACGACAGGGGACTCAAAGACCTGCCAAACAAAATGACAGTGCAGCCTGAGCATGAGAGGGGGAGAGAGAGAGGAAGGTGAGACGGCACAGATTGAAACCACTGAGTGAAATGGCCATGGAGAATATGAAAGACAGTACCTTAAAAAGAAATGTAACGATAATAATGAGAAGGACTGAAAGATGTTCTGTACTCTAATAACCTTTGGGATGTCAGGGAGTAAGACCAGAAACATAAGATTGTGTGAAGTTTTAGTGCAATGATGTCCGTTTTCAAAAAGACTCACATTCTGCTATCCCTGCTTCTATTTCTCTTGCACCATCGACGTTTTCTTTCTTGTCTATAGTCTAGAGCTTTATTATAGGCTTAAGAGATATTTCTATATTGTAAAATTATAAGTAGACCCTTCATGTTTTCCAGCCTTTGAGTGAGAAGTTAATTGGTCCTTTGTGAATTTGTGCCCTGCTACCAGTGCTTGTCTCCATCAAGCTATTACATGTACCATAGAATCTTCTCATCAGTTATCCTGTCATCAAACCTGACACTTGAGGATGAGGATGGAAGTAAACTTCTGTTTTTTCCCTCCATTTCAGTTTCAGCTTACTGTCAAAACACATTTTACTTTAATCATGTTGCTGACAACCTCATGTAGAAATGCCTTTATCAGCATGTGAGCTTGAATACTTGAGCTAGAAAAGGCTGCTAAGGAGAAAATAAGGCTTAAATTACTGAATTTGGGTTTAGGTAGATTACACACAGGGGGACTATAACATAAACCATATGAAAGTACGGTTTATTGCTATTTTGCTGAAGTTCTGATCCTTATCTCAGGGGTGGGTCAAAGGTAGCTCCAATCACTGAACATTTTGAAAGCTATAGCCAGTAGAGTTTAGAGATAATGGACAGACACTTGAATATGAGATGGAGGCATTGGGGTTTACCACAGCCTTCAAAAATGCCCACATAGCATATCATTTAATTAGATAAAAATGTTATAGTTCCCTGAAGACTACATATTATTTTTCATGTATAATGTCAAAATAGCTAAATGAGCAAATTTGTTTCAGATACCCTGAGCAATTCCAAATTCAGAAAGTGTGTCATTATGTGTACAGCACTGCTCCATCCATCTTTTCTTCACACTGTTTATTTATAAGTGCTTTCAGGTCAATACAAGGTTTACACAGGTTACCAAGAACAAGGGGATTTGAGCAAGAGGTAACATGGTTACTGGGGCTGTCAGAGGGAGGCAAAAAGGCCTTTACTACTTATACACACAATTCGACATATTAAACCTATATTAAGCAAATATGCAGTGTCTCCAGGTCAAAGGAGGGTCACTGCAATTCTTCCATGTGCAGCTGAATCACGTTCTCCTCCACTAAAAAAGTGAACTTTTTATAAACATGAATCAGTAGTGAGAGAAAACACTGAACCATTTGCCTAAGATACACTTCAGCAGCTGAGATAATGTTAGCATTGGTTACAGAAGGGAGAAGCTGATATATAAAGATGATGATGATAATCTTAAAAGATTGTTGTAATGTGTTTAGGACCTAAACGCCCACACAGCTGTTTTCAGTCATTCTGGCTGATGAGACCTCGAGACAGGTTGCAGTTGGGTGGCGCTAATGGTCTGATGTGTTCCACCCTCACAGGTGCTACAAAGCTGACAGGAGAGTGAGGGAGCTGCCTGAACATTCTGGCTAGAGGAAGTTGTCTGATGAGACACTGTAAATAAAAGCACCTGTATGGACGGATTTGTCTTTGCAAGTATCAACACAATTTTCTAGAGAAAAGATCCCAATGTTCCATAGAAGACAAGCTAACTCACAGATAATATAATTTTAAATCAAACAGCAAAAATCTGGCCTTAATTTGATAAGGGCAGAGAAGTCATGATTCTAATAAAATATAAAAATTCTTTGTTCAAATACCAACCAGTAGTGATATTTCAGTGAGCTACGCCGTGCACTTCCCAGCATCTTTTAAAGTGTGTGTGAGAGTGTAGGAGAGGTGATGGAAAAAGTGCAGAGTTGGCTCCTACCCTTTTATTGAAATTAAAAGAGCACATGAATTTGAGATACGTAGATTAATAGTTCAGGATTTAAGTGCCTAACATGGCTACAGAAGACGCTGTCTCTCTTTCTCTCACACACTATATTACCATTTTTTCACATCAAAACCCTTTTTAATCAGGTCGATTAGGGCCTAATTGATTAGTATAGCACCGATCAATAAAATGCTACAGTCAGCCAAATGCTTGAGCATATACATGGCTCACAGACAGAGCACAAAAAACAATCTTTAAATATGCTTCAGCTATCTGTACACTGCTGAACTTTGATTTCCACTCAGAACCACTTACCATAAAAAAAAATCTATGATGTCCCATTCTGTGTGTGTGTGTGTGTGTGTTTGACATCTTGTGCAGTCAGCTAAATGTTGAGCAATGACCACTCAATCACCATAGCCTGAGCCACAAGTTGAATGGTTGTGGTGGCCACACATGATGGACAAGTGCCATCATGTGTGGCCACCTCAACCATTCAATTAGGTTGATGTGGATGATGCACACGTTTGTGTGCTCAGGTCTGTGTATAGTTATGATGCACAGTACAATTATTTTAAAGGTTACATCACAATTAGTTCTGGGTGGAACACATTCGAGGATTGACTTGAGTAAGAAAAGGGACAAGAATAAAAATTTTCTCCCAGCAAATATGGTAATTTACGACCATATATCACTGTATACTGGTGAACATGCACACCAATACTGATCCATGATCAGTTGATTTCATCGGCCAAGCACTAAA